ACCACCATCAACATCACCACCACCATCAATATCATCACCACCACCATCACCACCACCATCAACATCACCACCACCATCAATATCATCACCACCACTTCCACCACCATCAACATCACCACCAACAACAACAACACGTGTTCTGGGAATCGTGGCTTCCCAGTTCCCTGAAAGTGCGTGTCTTTCCTGGAAGGAATTAGGGTTTTTCTTCCTTGCACCTGATGCCAGGCTCCTTAATCAATGCACAGGTTCCTGGCCTCTCTGGGACAAGGCCTGCTGCCTCCTCCTGAGCCATGGCAGAGGTCTTGGAGAGTCAGCCATGTGAGGCCAATGGGACTCTCGATGTGGAAGCAGCAGGTCCTGTCAGGAACAGGTGCACTTCCCCTTCAGCATGGGCTCTGGAGGCTGCTGTTTCTTGTATTTGTTCTGCTCAGTCCAGACTGGAAAGAGGAGGCCGTGGCCCCAGGAGAGGACCATGTTTTCCATGTCATCCTTCCTCCTGGCTTTGCTTCTGGAAGTGACACACTCGGGGCCTCAGCTCCCCAGTTTCCTGACCTGAGGCTGCCATGGGCCTCTGTTCCCAGGAGTGGGGCCGAGCCAGGCCCCGCTGATGCTGGGGAGAGCCAGGCCCTGCGCTGGGCTTTGGTTAACTACGGTGCTTAAGCCCTCCCTCCTGCTCAGGCAGCGCCTGTGCCCCTTTGCCCAGCCGTGAGAACGGAACAAGTGTTCCGAAGTCATGCGAGAAACAAAACTGGGACTCACGGTTTCAGCCCCAAGACCAGGGCTCTGGAGCCCAATGTCACCTCTTACCTGGAAGCTACTGGGGGTCACTCTCGCTTACATCTGATTCCCGTTCACTGTCCCCACGGTCAGGCTCATCTCTCCTCTAGGGCCCAGGTTCCTGTTGTAAAGTGGAGAGAACAGTGCAGCTGGCACACAGAGCAGCCTCCCTCCCTCTCCATCTTCACTCCCAGCACGAGAGCAGGAGATGTGCAAACTACATACAAAGAATGCACACGTGTGCTCATGCACACACTCACACACACACAGACACACACGGGGAACTTAAAGAGAGAATTGAGCAGGGACTGAAACCAAGGATCTCCTGAGATATTGGGATCAGAAGTACATCTCAGCGCATGGACCTAAGCTTGGCTTGGGGTGCTCTGGAAGCTGGCACGTGCCATGTGCCCTAAGCATTAGAACCGAGCAATTGCTAAATCCATGTCTTTGAATAAGAAACTAGCAATGTTTAACCTTCCATTTCAGAGAATGCACCAAGACATGCCAGGCCCCCACCCAGGCTGGGATGCCAGTCACAGGAGGAGTGAGAAGACGCTGGGTGGAGGGGCCTCCACTCACACCATCTGTGCTGCCTGGAAATTCTGAGCTGAACTCTGATGAGTGCAATCTGGAACTGATGGCAAACCCAAAGGTCCTCGGCCCAGGTGAAAGGGCCATCGTCCCCGTGGAGACGCCTGCGCAGGTCGTGGGGGTTCTGGGCTCCAGGGGCGGGAGCTTTCTGAAGGCGAGCCCACAGCACCTGTGGGCACTCACCCCCAGGAGGCGGCCGGCTCCACACAGGAGAATTCCCATCTGAGGAGCCGCCAGAAACGACTCAGGCCTTTGATGGCTCAAAATATGTGTTACAGGGAAAAAGAAGTAGCAGAGCGCAAATTCTATCCGTAGGACTTAATAAAAAGATTAGATAAAAAACAGAGTCCAAAAACGTGAGGCAAGCAGGGTGGGTTTAAACATCTGCTGTCACCCTTGGCTTCGTCCCCTGCGGTGGTGTCTTTGGGGACTGGGTCTCAGGTGACCTCCAGTCTCAATGGCCTAGCAGAGCAGCTGGTACTGGGGAGACACACAGCCACACCCTGCCAAATGGACGGACAGTCCAGAGCTTCCTTCAGAGTCTCCGGGTGTGGACTGTGGCTCCTGCCAGCTCCCTTCCTCCCAGCCAGGCTCGGGAATGTGGTGTGCGAGGGGATGGGGGGCCTTGGAAGAGAGGAGCCAGCAGGAGGGAGGGTGGCCGGTCTCTCTCCCTAGGTCTGCAGCAGGAGGGGTGTGAATTGGAGTGCCAGCAGAAACAGGTCTCCTCTCCAGGCTGGCTGGCTGTCAGGAGCCCCTCCCTGCAAGTTCCCCTAGCCATTTCCTGTCACATCATTGTGTGTGTGTGTGTGTGTGTGTGTGTGTGTGTGTGTGTGTTCCCTGGTCCTGTGCTAACGAGAATCTTTGAAAAATGACTGGTATGGTAATGATCTACGGAACTTACTGTAGATAGCAATTAAATACGGTTAACGGCCGGGGTGCGCTGACACATTAAAAGGCCCGCAGGCTGCGATTTATGACGACAGCCGCGCTGCCTCCTTGGTGTCTCATGCATTTTTCTGCTTAGGCAGCCTAGTCCGAGTCTGGAGCGATTTCCAGGCCTCCTCCCGCGTCTCTGGGTTGGCAGGCAGGCCACCCTGAATCCTACCAGCAGGCTTTACCTCTCACCCAGGTACATCCTGCCATACCTCAGGGGGCCCCAGGTGGGCTCCATCCAGGGTCACCCTCCAGTGTGCAGAAAACGCATGTGCCATCACAGGAGAAATCTTGGGTACAATATTGGAGATACTTCTGGAAAGTGAAATCAGGTGATTTGATGAAAAGAATTGAAATTGATCACGGGGGTCTCGCTGGCCTGCTGGTGACTGCTTTCTGGGGATGATGGACCTTCTGGGCCCTTGAGAGGGAGGGAGCAGCCGAGCCCAGAGTGGCCACTCGGTGGAGAGGCCTCTGGTGTATCTGCATCTTCACCTTTGCGACAAGCCTGCAGGTCCTCACACCCCCTGCTGGCCAAGGACACTCACTGAGGGCACGTTTTCCCACTTCTGCACTTGGCTCATCAATCAGAGCTGGAGGAGAGGAAAGATTCACTGCTCGCGCCTGTCCTTGGCCTTAACCAAGAATGCCCTGACTCAGTACAGAGACGATGCTGGCCATGTCCTCGGTAGAACAACTTCCTGAGGTACTGTTGCGGTTTTCCTCCTTGTTTGTGGCCCAGCGAGTGCGCCCTCTTGCCTAAGGGAAATGTTAATGGTTTTGTGTCACCAGACCAAAAGGAGAAGTGCCTGGGCAGCTCAGAGGTAATTCCACGAGGCAACTAGGAGGTAACTAGGAGGTCATTCAAGCTTCTGAAAAGAGTGGAGAGCAATTGGGGGTGGAGTTTTCTGGGAGGACACCTGAGAGCAGTCAGGCTAAGGAAATGCCCAGGACACTTCCGTGGGCAGCAAACACCATGGTTTCCTTTTGCCAAGACTTTGTGGTGGCTTTCCAGTGAGCCTCTGCGGCAAGCACCCCACTCACACATTCGGGTCATGTTCCAGTCTCGGAGGAGCGTCTCAAAGCCCACGGCTGAGATGACTTTGCAGCCAGCAGGTTGAAGAGAAATTGGAACCGGGTTGGACTGGATGGAGAGGAACACCACACCCTTGTTCTGCTGCATCCTACAGCTCTTCAGCAAAGGCTGGCAAGATGAACCTCCCTAAGTGGGAGGGACGTGAACAGTGACAGTGAGGCCCAGCTCTTCGTGTGGAGTTTTAGGAAGCAAAAGCCCTCACCCAGAATGGGAATATGTCTCTGCTCCAGGATTTCAGAAGGGACAGAGGACTCCTCATCGCAGTCACAAGTTCCAAGGCAGGAAACCCACTACCTTTACAGAAATCATCAGTTCACCAAAATCAACATATTCTCTGAGGCTGGGAGTCCTGAGATAAGGACAGAAATTCTTAAACCTTAACTCGGACATCCTGCTGAGAAGTCGGCATCTAAGACCAAGAAAACTATCAGCTGACAGACTGCAGAGAACTCCACTTTAGGGTATTTGTGTCTCAAAGGGTACTCATCTTTGATGACCATGACCCAAAGATGGCTTCAATCATTTAAAACACACGTCCTGACATGCTGACAATCAGAGAAGCGTGTGAGTCACCTGTGAACTCCCATGGAGCAGGGTTCTTGCCAGAGGGATAGGAAGACAAGAGGCAAGGCTGAGGCCACACCAGCATGCACATCCTCAGGGAGAGCTCGATTCTCAACTCAGGTTGGCAGAATTTAAAAACCTTGGAGATATTCCCAAACAGCGTGATATTAAAGGGAGGAGGAAAGGATAGCTCTTCGAGCAAAGCAAAAACAAGAGATTCCTACTGGAGACTTGGGGTTGGCTCTACTTCTATGGCAGGCAGGGACCCATTATGGTAGTGAAGGTCCCTGGAATCTTCCAGAGAAACAAGCATGGGCATCCCTCATCCTGTCTCTAGAGCCAGTTACTGCAAAAAGACCCTGTGCTGTTGAGAGTGTGTCTGCATACCTCTACTCTGTGATCTCGCTGGTCCAGGGCACTCTCAATAAGTGTGGCTTGGAAAAGACCCTTGAGGGTCAGGCCAAAGCAGGCACACATTGTTCCAGACACAAAGTGGAAAACATTTGAGGGACAGGCTCCAAGAACTTTACAAAGTACAATATTTTCCTCCCCAGCCACGATTTAGCAGTGGTTATTTTGAGGGTGCGGTCACCAGGAGGGTATTGGGTATTTTATGGTAAATGCAATTTAAAAAAACTTTCTAAGTAGTAATCTGAAAGCTAAGGAATTTGTTTCAAGAAACTTAGAAAGTGTTCTAAAGAGAGAAACCTTGAAGTTCCTAAGAGACTAGGTTTTCTCCCCAAGCCTGGGAAGTGATGGCTAGGGAGACCTCTGTGCCCCTCTGAATGCGACACTGGGGAGGAGTGCTCTTGGTTAGAGCCATCCCTCTTCAGTTCAAGTTGCAGTCTCCAACCTCTGGTCAGGTAATCTGCCAGTCCTCTTTGCAGTGCAGGTGTGTTATAAATGATCTTCACTCTGCTTAGATTCGGATGTGGTGAAGTCTGGTCACCTGTCTTTCTGACATTATGTGTGTGACTATTTCGCACATGTGAGCTCTGTTCACAGCCTCTGGGATGGAACTTTGTCATGTGACCACACCCAACTGCAAGGGAGGCTAGGAAATGTTTTCTGACAGCCAGGTGCCAAGCTCAATATGGGGTTCAGCCATTGTGAAATTGTGCAGATACTGGGGACACAGTCACCGTCACAGTACAAAAGAGAGGCTGAGTTCAGTGACAACTGTAATAAACAACTCCAGAAGGATGCATGCCCACTGAGAGCACTGTCCGGCTTTAGTAGACTTCCAGAGCCACCAAACAGCAAACAGCACAGTGCTGTTGATTTGCTTCTTTAGGTTAAATTTCTTTTTCTTTTTTTTTTCTTTCTGATTGTAGAAACAATAATAATTCCCTGTACTTTTTTCAGGAAAATATTGAAATAATCAATTATCCCACCACAAAGAGGGAGCTCCCACAAGGACGCTGGTGTCCGTTCCTCCTGTGTTTTCTGCGGTCCGTGTGTGCACAGCTGCGTGTTGGCGTTTGTAGTAGATCGTCCTGCACACACTGTTTTATCTCTGGTGTTTTCATTTAAATAGTTCTATCAGTCTTGCTCCTCTTGCCTGTGTGCTGCCTTAGTAGTTCTCTGAGTCTACTCCAGGAGAGAAGGAAGAGAGCAGGACATTGCACACTGCTTCCCTGGCTTCACTGCGAACTAGAGGAAGGACTCAGGGGCTCCAAGGGCAAGTGTGGAAATTGCTCACAATCGTGGTTGTGGACCCACCCATTCTGCTTCCATTGCCTGCAGATGGGAGCCACTGGAGAGAATCCATCACTGAGGAAGACAGGTGAGACCAGCAGAGGAAAGCGAAGGCAGGTGGTGTGGCTCGAGCACAGGATCACGTCCACTCGCCCGTTACCATCTGCTCCTGTGGTTGTGCTCCAGGCCAGCTCAAAAACTTGGTCCACCATCCCACTCCCACGATGCTGCTCATAGGGCATCTGGTCCAAGTGCCAGTGGGGTGGTGTGCATGCCTGTGTCCCCACCGCCCCGCGGGGCACTTGGACAGGCTGTCTGAAGGGTGAACATCGCCTTCTGTTTTCAACTTCAATTTGAATAGGAAATGTATGACTTGAGGTCAGCTTTTCTTTTTAGTTTTCGTATCTAGGGATGTGTGTGTGTGTGTGTGTGTGTGTGTGTGTGTGTGTGTCGAGGGGACCTAGATGTATGGAATTCTGCTTATTCCCAAGTATGTTAGAAAAAGACACTCATGGCTGACGGATATTCCCAGGATTCAGTGTGAGTTAGCGCTGCTGCACACACAGAGGGACACCTGCCTCTCCCTCCTTGGGGCTGACAGCCGGAGCAGGCTCCGCCCAGGTCCTGAAGCTCTTCCTCCCGGGCTCCGGGGGAGGGGGCTGCCTCGCTCGCTCCCTGCGCCTCCCCGCCCCCAGCCTCCCCTGCCGGGACGCAGTCGGCTTCTTTGTTAGGCTGCGAGGGCAGGCTGCTGACTCAGGGCTGGAGGGGCGGGGGCGCCCACGCAGCCCCCTGACCCAGCCGCAGGGCCAGCCTGCCCGCCG